GTAGTTGCTGCGGCCTGTAGCATGAAGCCGGTTTCAGTTTTTACCCAGGTAGGCTCACGTTTAGTTTGAGCTAACTCTGAGTTTTTAGGCTCAATAAGGTGGGTTGGTTTTGAGTGGGTTTCGTCACCATGGTAACTTACGCTACACAGCTACCCAGATCCGGAGCAGGTTTTATTCTGGGTTAGAGATCACAAACCCAAACTGGACCAATCAGCTGTGAGCAAAGTCGCATATATCAGATGCAATGAAGCCACTCCCCCTTATCTCTCGCTCCAAATTAAAGCAGTTTAGAGTAGAAGAATTTCAGAGACAAAATTTCCTGAATTTTAGAGACTAAAATTGTCTTTTGCTGCTAATTATTTATTATACTCATATCGTATGAATTATAATAATATAAAATATTAAAAAATATATTATATGAGCTGGCAATTAATATTAAATTTGCATTTGAATTAATTTAAATATATATATATTGCCTATAAATAAGTTTCAATATATAAAGCTTTTAAAATAACTAAACATTTCTTTTGAGCTCTGTGTGAAACTATATAAACTTAAATTCAGCTTATTCTTTTGCATAGTCAGATATTTTCTTTCTGCTGCCTTCTCAAACGTTTGCTGCAGCAGCAGTGTTCATTCCTGCCTTGTAAATGCATTTAAATGAATTATATTTTTAATAACGACATCTCTTCATTTTTAACAGAGAAGTGAATTGCGCTGACTCTCGCGAGAAGTGAATCAAACTGACGCTCTCCATGTTTCGTGTGATTGGCTGTTTGCTGCACGTGTCACACTTTCAGTTAATCACAAACTCTGGATCAACCCTGAGTTGACAGAGCACGTTTATATCGAGCTTTGTGAGCCCGCTGATCCTGAACGAAACTAGGTTTGATTAGTTTGGTTTTGACAACTCTAAACCTACCCTGAAACTCAGAGTTTGTTCATCTCGCTTCGTGCTACAGGCCACAGGTGATCAGGTGTCAGTTGTTTATTTACCCGTGTAACGCGCACGCTCGCAGCTCACTCCTCCGCTCAGGCACGCGCACAGCTCTACAGAGCGCAGGTAGATCCGTCCCCACGAGTCTCCGGTGTCATAGTACTTCAGATGCAGCACCTCGTAGCACTTCTCTACAAAACAAACCACAGAAACGAACCCGAGCGTCAGAACACACCCCCGACTCTCCCACCCATCAGAACTCGACCGATATCAGATGACAGACAACATGAAGACACGAAACCTTCACGGATCACAGGACATGTGATAGCGTTAAAGATAAGAGATTTCAAAACATAAAAGAGAGCGACGCATGAATGGAGACCAACATGTGATTCTGTGCTAGAAAAATGAAGCCTACATGTGAACAGATCCAACACTACTATCGTTAATGAAGCTATTATCATTCCTATTACTAACCAAAAAATAACTTTAATGGAACTATAATTCATTATTTCAGAATAAAAAAAGATAGATAGATAGATAGATAGATAGATAGATAGATAGAGAGAGAGAGAGAGAGAGAGAGAGAGAGAGAGAGAGAGAGAGAGAGAGAGAGAGAGAGAGAGAGAGAGAGAGAGAGAGAGAGAGAGAGAGAGAGAGAGAGAGAGAGAGAGAGAGAGAGAGAGAGAGAGAGAGAGAGAGAGAGAGAGAGAGAGAGAGAGAGAGAGAGAGAGAGAGAGAGAGAGAGAGAGAGAGAGAGAGAGAGAGAGAGAGAGAGAGAGAGAGAGAGAGAGAGAGAGAGAGAGAGAGAGAGAGAGAGAGAGAGAGAGAGAGAGAGAGAGAGAGAGAGAGAGAGAGAGAGAGAGAGAGAGAGAGAGAGAGAGAGAGAGAGAGATAGAAGATAGATAGATAGATAGATAGAGAGAGAGAGAGAGAGAGAGAGAGAGAGAGAGAGATAGAAGATAGATACATAGATAGAGAGATAGCGATAGATAGAGAGAGAGAGAGAGAGAGAGAGAGAGAGAGATAGACAGATAGATAGACGATAGATAGAGAGAGAGAGAGAGACACCGGTATTCGGTATGAACCGGTATACCGCCCAGCACTAACACGCAGTCTCATGAATAATTTAATAGACACCGAAGCGTCATCGATGTACTATTAGTCCATTGCCACGTCACAAATTGTGACGTCAACACGATGTCGATTTTAACCCCGGAAGATGAAAACAGCGCAAAAAAGCTTAAAATTAACCAGTTTTCTCCAACAGTTAAAAATATCGGATGCTAACATTGTCTTCTTTGATGTGCAACACAAACACCTCTTCTAAAATCTCAGAAAAAGTAGTCTGGGGTTTCATGACCCTTTAACAAAGCCCAGTAAACACAGGATGCCCTGTGAGACCTATGCTTTGTGTAAAATAAGTAAATATAAGCAACCAACACCTGCAACCCACAAATCAACAGAGTGAAAAACTCATTAGAGAAGAGAAGGCAAAACAGACAACAAAGACTCATAAAGCTCAACAAGCAGGTCCAAATCATATAATTTATATGATAAATATATTTAAAATATAAACGTAACATATTTTTAAAAATATTTACATGTGTGTAAATACGTGTGTGTATTTATATATACATAATAAATATACATAGTACACACACATATATTATGTAAACAAAAACTTTTATTTTGGATGCGATTAATCGCGATTACTCGTTTGACAGCACTAATAAACATACATATAAAAATACAAACCAATTCTAAATATGAATAAATACTATTATAGTATACATTCTAAATAACATATTTCTGCGAATCGATTCATATTATTTTATATATTATTTACTCGAATATATTATCACTCTAATGTAACAATTCATTTGCATCAGCATTCAAAAATGTTTATGGAAGCCTCTGCATTTTTTTGTATATTTTTAGTATATTAAAATGCATTTAGAGATATTTGTTGGCAAATATTTATGTTTATTACTATTTATTGCTAAATGCATATGAATAACTGTGTTCATTAAACTATAACATGTCATGGTTGTTTTAAAACTAGAATTTACTGTGCTTCATTTTATTAAACATTCTACACATTTTGAATCTAATTGGAAATAATGACTGTCTGGTTTCTCTGAAAGGTAAAAAAAACGAGAGCAAATACTAGAGACGAGATATCTAATGCAAGCTCTGACTTTACAGAAGAACATATGCCGACTTAATAGTTTTAATAGGATGAAAGGACAATTTCTTACCATTAAGGAGTCGTGCTTGTGAACTGCAGAATCCCCACTTCTGGTCGCGGTCAAAGTTATGTGTGAGAGAGCACCTATAACACAAGACCAGCCTCAAACACAATGAGCCTGACACACATCTGAAACACTCCAGACCCGAGAAAAGACCAAACAGACTAAAACAAGGGTCACAAACAACAAAGTGAACTGATTGCACGAAATTCCCTTATTCTTGACAAACACAAACTATAAAAGGTAAAAGCAGATATGACTACAATAAATACCAGTTCACTTGCCATGAGTGAAACACAAAACTATTTACCAGCTTATGAAACAGAAGTGTTGTATTGTAAGCTTTTGTAAGAATGCAATTGTATTTGATGTGCACTTGTAGTGTACTTCAGATCTTACAAATAGGCTATGTTTTTTTTTTTAAACTGTACTAGATAATATAATATTAATGAAATAAAATGTCACTTAAGTGACTTAAAGAGAGACACTCATGACTGTTTCTAAACGCAATTAAGTATACTTTTAAACAGTGACCTTTGTAACAATGTCAAATTAAAAGTTTCTTTAAAGTACATTTTAAATCATTATTTCAATAATATTTTGTCGTGTTTTAAAGTAGTGCACTTATTCTGATGTGTTGACTAACATACTAAAGCACATGTAAAGAACTGGATTATCATTTTAACTGTAATGTTATGCAATACTGCATTTAAAGTTAATATATTTTAAAAGTACTAAATTGCAAATTAAAAGCATATTTTTTTTAAATACATGACATGCTGTAGCCTACACGTTTAATAAAAATGACAATAAAGTATATTGTAGTTCAACCATATAGAAGTAATTGTGCAATTAAATATAAAGATGTACTTAAGTCCTACTTAAGTGGATTAAAAAAACACTCTAAAGTTCAGCTAAATGCATTTAAAACTATTATACATTTTCATTAAGGGCAATTGACCGTTCGCAAAGACCCGCCCACCCTTAGTTACTGTTGCTAAATATTCTGTTACAAATTACTGTTGCTTAATATATTTTAAGCATACTTAATTGCAAATTAAAAGCATATATTTAAATACATGACATGCTGTAGCCTACAAGTTTAATAAAAAATGACATTAAAGTATATTTTAGTTCAACCATATAGAAGTAATTGTGCAATTACATATAAATATGTACTTAAGTCCTACTTAAGTGGATTAAAAAAACACTCTAAAGTTCAGCTAAATGCATTTAAAACTATTATACATTTTGCAATTGACCGTTCGCAAAGACCCGCCCACCCTTAGTTACTGTTGCTATCTCCGACAAACAATGCGGCTCTCACGCTACACATCATGCTCTTCTCACGCAGTGAAAAATACATCGCAGAGCAAACTGACAATGTGCCGACAGAAAAGACAACAAAGAAGGTACTGTATCAGGACTCTCAGCTTTCAAATTCTGTCATTTCTAAAGAAATTCAAACAATAAATATCGTTTTGTGGCTCTTTAATGACAGATCGCTGTAGTGCCTCAGTTCAGGGTTGGGGTGGATGTAGATGTTAATAAAACACAATCTAATCCACCTTTTTCTGAACATGGAAGTCTCGCCCGACTAGAACGGCACTTTACATTTCCGGTCTCTGGTGTTTCTAGTCACATTTACATATTTTCCGAGCCGACAATATAATGTGAAACCTATGAAAATGGTTTAAAAAAGCACATGACACCATAGTTTCATCATTTTACAGTTTCGCAATGAACGTCTTTGTGCAATAAAGGACTTGTCATAGTTTGATGAGTGGGAAGATGACATGAAACGACACGATTAGCTGAATTGAAAACAGATGAGCGCACATGTGCATATATAGCTCCCGATCGGGGCGAAGTTCACAGGATTTTGTCCACAGAATGATAAGAGCACACATTATTTTAACATTATTTTATAATTTCACACTCAGTATTTTAACTTCAGCGCCGCAAGCCATGCATACAGCGCCGGACATGACATATTTTCTGGTATGCAAAACAAGTACTTTAAAGCAATTCCTTTACCTTATTGCCGTTACGGCGGCAAATAATATCTGCGCTCTGTCGCCTGTCAATCAAGCTCCCTGTGAACGGTCAATTAGCATGCAATTAAGAGTCTAAAACATTACATTCAGTTTACACATTTAATGGGAAAGTTCACCCAAAAATGAAAATTCTGTCATTAATTACTCACCCTCATGTCGTTCCAAACATGTAAGACCTTCTTTTTGAAGAGTTAGGGTTAGGGTTAGGTGATATGGCGTATTAGGCGTACGTGATACTCTTCAAAAATGGCGCTATAGGGTGATAAATTCGTTATTTTTGTTTTCTTTGTGCACAAAAAGTATTCTCGTAGCTTTATAACATTACGGTTGAACCACTGATGTCACATGGATTATTTTAGCGATCTCCTTGCTACGTTTCTGAGCCTTGATCGTGGTAGTTACCTTGCTGTCTATGGGAGAGTCAGAGAGCTCTCGGATTTCATCAAAATATCTTAATCTGTGTTCCGAAGATGAACGGAGGTCTTACAGGTTTGGAACGACATGAGGGTGAGTGATTAGTGACAGCATTTTCATTTTTGAGTGAACTATCCCTTTAAGTATATTCTAAGTTTATGTTAAAGTGTACTTATTTTTCACAACAGAACCACTGTCAAGGTCAAAACTAAATAGAAAGCACGGTATAATACTCCATACAACATACAGTATGTCTGCTATATTCCAGATCTTCTGAAGCCAAACAAAGTGTTGTGTGATCAAGCAGAGCGAACAAAGTTTAAGCTGAGAATGAATCACTAGACGATTCAATTGATTCTGTTCAAGAATCAGACTAATCAGCTTCACGCTTGCAATGGCTTTCAATGGAAGAGAAGATTCTCAGTGAATAACGACTTATAGAATTCAGTCTGTTCTTCACAAAAAGCATCATATGATTTGCACACGAATGTTATGGACTTTTTTTGGGGAACTTGACAGGTGATAAATGAAAGAGAGCTGCGTGATGATTCTTCAGAATTCTTCTTTTGCATTCCACAGAAAGAAATGCTAGCATAAGGGTTTGGGAGAATACGAAAACAAACTGAGAACCACGAGCAAACCCTGCTCCAGATTTCTGGAGTGAATCCTCAGTGAAGAGTTGCTCCATACGGAGATGTGCACACACTTGTTGAGCTGCAGTGATGTGACATTAATAACGCACCGCCTCTTACATCTCTCGTCATCTCTCTGCCTGATAACACTCACTCGCTCTCAGTGTTTAGAAGTGTTTATGAAACCGGTACGTGTGTAGTCATCTGCTCCACTCGCTGATGTCTGGCAGAGGAACCTAAATAGCTGCGCAGATGATGACGAATGAGTAGTGGTAGAGTCAAGGGTTAAGTCTGGGCTGGGTAAAGGTTACTCAAGCTCTTTGATTAGGCTTACATCAGAACCAGGGCTGGGTTCTGACTTTGGCTTGATGTTTCAGGGATGTGGGTTTGGGTTAGTAAGGACTTGGTTATGGGCTGGTTAAGAAACTGGTTTAAGTTGGGTGATCATCAGAGCCCAGCGGTTTAAAAGAAATGTGATCGGATTTGGTCAAATGTTTAAAATGGGACTGTTTAGAGATTCCCAAACCAAATTAGATCATGTAGCCCAGTGCTATTTTTACTAGTATTACTTTGGATTCATTATAGATTTTATTTATAGTATTTTTTATTTTTTTTATTTAGGCAACAAGGTGAAATAAAGTTTGCAATTTATTTTATTTTATTGTAATGTAATAAATGTAATGTAATATACCTGATTCAGTCTTGTTTTGATCTAGTATGTGTTGTTCAAAACAATTACATGGATCCCATCAGAAGAGTAGATTTAAGATTGATACCAGTAACAAAATGCAATAAAACTTTAAAGCTGTTAACTAATACATTTGTATTATGCTGCATATATACACATTTATATTTAGCACTTCAACCGTTACCATTCTAAAGTATACAAAGTAGAAGTAAGCTATTATTTGTGACTCTGGAGCACAAAAGCAGTCATAAGTTGCACAGGTATATTTGTAGCAATAGCCAACAATACATTGTATGGGTCAAAATTATCAATTTTTCTTAGGATATTAAGTAAAGATCATGTTCCATGAAGATATTTTGTAAATGTCCTACCGTAAATATATCAAAACTTTATTTTTGATTAGTAATATGCATTGCTAAGAACTTCATTTGAACAACTTTAAAGATGATTTTCTCAGTATTTAGATTATTTTGCTCCCTCAGATTCCAGATGTTCAAATAGTTGTATCTCAGCCAAATATTGTCCTATCCTAACAAACCACACATCAATGGAAAGCTTATCTATTCAGCCTTCAGATGATGTATAAATCTCAGTTTCGAAAAATTGACCCTTATGACTGCTTTTGTGGTCCTGGGTCACATATAGTAGAAATAAAATAATATTGTGTCCCCAAACAGCTGTCAGCATCATAAAAAATAGTGTCAAAAAAGTTATTTATCACTGTATATTAATTACAATGACAAAACGGTCAGAGATGGACCAGAGATGGTTTCTAAAATGTGCATTCCTTACTGCATGTATATTTGTGTGTTTATATTGATCTGTTGTAGGTTAGATGAGAGTCTGACCGTTTACAAGAAAATGACAATGTTAAGGAATCTTTGTACTGTTTGTGAAACAGCGCTGACAAATCGACCTGTTCTTCTTTATATAGCTAGTAGCATATATGCTGATATGTAGCCCAGTTAAGAGCACTGCTAATCCAGATTTGGTAATCTGGGGGGAAAGAAAGATTATCAGTGATCCAGTCCAATGTTGCTCTGAAAAACTGGTTCAAAAGTAAGATGGATTACCTGATCCTGGATAGCAAAAGATTTGAGTTTTATTTCAGTTTTAGTCTGACTTATCTGACATCAATTTAAACTAAATGGAAATAATAAATGTTGCCTTTGGAACTAGCTGAAATAAAATAAGTAACAAAACATAATGACCCTTGTCTTGGCTTACAACGGATCTGAATTGATGTGGGTTTAGCTGGACAGATTTGGGCTGGTCAGAACCTAGGTTTGTCTAACTAAAGATCTGGTTTAAACTGCCTTAAACCAGATATTTTCGCTACCCCAAACCCAGATTCTAACTCATCCCAAAACCAGATCCAAAGAATGTCTACGGATCTACGACTGAGCTTGGTTATAAACTGATTGCCTTTGCTCTGCTGATTTATTGGTTAGTTGAACAGTTACACATGGATCTGAGAGTAGTGGGCTATTATCGGTACGTGAAAACATCAAACTATTTAAATAAACAAACACATTCTACGCATGCAGATTCTTTGTGAGTCTGGTTGTGATTTGCTGCAGCTGCAGCTTTGGGCTTTGAGACCTGAGACTGGGTTTGATGGTCAGCAGTTTGAGGGTTATTTCTCTGCGATTACTGAAAAATAACCGTTGAGGGACAGCGACATTGAACGTGTGTGTACTGTTAGCACTTACCAGGCCTTGTGAGAGTTCATAGAGATACACTGGTGATAAATCAACCCGCCAAAGCGAAAAGGAAACTTGCAGTCTTTGCCATCTGTTGTGAGAACTACAACACACACACACACACACACTCACACAGAGAGAGAGAGAGAGAGACACACACACACACACACACACAGAGACAGACACACACACACTCTCCAGGCCAATCACAATATTTGTTTATAATACAATCACCTTTCCCCCTGCCTGCTGCCACGGCTACTATAAGATCAAAGGATCAAATATTCTCCCCCAGTAACCACCAGGCCAATCAGAGAATCTGTTTCATAGCACCAAAAACAGTGAAGACCTGGGCACAGTTCATTCTTCACCAAAATGTGAAGAAGATACACTGCTCAAGAGGCCCTGGAACACTTGCTCACATCCAGTAAACCAAGAGTTATTAGAAACAGAAACTCTCTGAAAGCAATTGGAGAACAGTTCATACCTTTCTGGGTTACAGTGTTGGACTGTCCGGAAACTAATATGTCAATACCAGGTGGCTGCTTGCGCTTTAATGAGAGAGAGAGAGTATACCAAGATGTACACCAAATGATATGCATTCAGCAAACCTCATACGGGACACTCACCGATCCAGCACACTGCAAACGGGGCAATAAAACAAGAGTTATCAGGAGAAGAAGAAGGAACTCTCGACGAGTCAGAACTGGAGAAAACACAGGCATTTCTGTACGAGCTCTGCTCCCTCTGCGCGCCAGATCCTTGGACGAGTTTCAGGACTCAAAGCAGATGAAGTCCGTCCCAAAAGCAAGTGTCATGTGTGGGATTCCTCCATTATATCCCGGGGCGATGGATGTATTAGTATTATTAAATATTTAGTATAATGCCTTGGCTAAATAAAAGTAGAATTACTCACGAAGCTTTCCATATTAAAAGTTGCTAAAAACATAGTTGTTGTTGTTGTTGATGATGATAATAATAATAATAATTTGTATAATGCGTGAGCTAAATAAGAGTAGAATGACTCTTTACAGTTAAAACTTATATTAACGAAATATAGCCGCTAGCTATACTTAAAATACTTGAAAGTAAATTAACAAATAAAATAAAACAATTGTTTACTTTCTTTTTGTCAAATGACTAAAATCTTAAAAAGTAAAAAGTGGAAGA